TGGAGGCAGTGGAGATGTCATGTCTGAGGGCAATGTGTGGTGTGAATATAATGCAGAGAATCGTAGTTTGGAAGTTAGGAGGAGTGCGGGATTACCAAAACTGTTGTCCAGAGGGCTGAGGAAGGGTTGTTGAGGTGGTTCGGACATGTAGAGAGAATGGAGCGAAACAGAATGACTTCAAGAGTGTATCAGTCTGTAGTGGAAGGAAGGCGGGTAGGGGTCGGCCTAGAAGGGTTGGAGGGAGGGGGTAAAGGAGGTTTTGTGTGCGAGGGCTTGGACTTCCAGCAGGCATGCGTGAGCGTGTTTGATAGGAGTGAATGGAGACAAATGGTTTTTAATACTTGACGTGCTGTTGGAGTGTGAGCAAAGTAACATTTATGAAGGGATTCAGGGAAACCGGCAGGCCGGACTTGAGTCCTGGAGATGGGAAGTACAGTGCCTGCACTCTGAAGGAGGGGTGTTAATGTTGCAGTTTAAAAACTGTAGTGTAAAGCACCCTTCTGGCAAGACAGTGATGGAGTGAATGATGGTGAAAGTTTTTCTTTTTCGGGCCACCCTGCCTTGGTGGGAATCGGCCGGTGTGATAATAAAAAAAAAAAAAAAAATATTTGAAAAGGAGACAGAATATATTGTAAGGGAAGTGTTATTATCATACATCAGTCACAATGTGACATTTTATTGCAGTAGTGTTTTGCTCTCCAGGAACTATGTCAAGCCGTTACAAACATTACAAGGACACAGTGTTTGACCACTAATCCCTCATGATTGACTACTGTATAGCAGGTTGGCATGATACCTGGCATAGACACCTAACATTAAAGTGTTCCTAGTGTGGTTTTTGTGATTTTATTGGCTTTTTTTTTTTTATATCAGTTGATGGATTGAAAGACACTAGTGAAATGTAGATGATTTTGGTCATCTTGAAATATGGGTCAATGTAGCCAAAATATTTGATTTTTGGCAATTTTCCTGAGGAAGGGTAGGGCATCCCTACTCCCCAGTCTGTTTTAGATTTGTTTTACTAGGTATGCTTCAGTTATTAGGATGGCCTAAACCAATCATTCTTGGTTATATTTTATTATCTGAGAAATAGGGCAAAACTTTGATTGTGTGAGATAAGGGATTCAAAATAGATGGCAAGTGTTATGCAGGAGAAGAAAAGGGATAGGTAACTAAGTTTAGTGGCTGGAATGCCTGAAGTGTTGATTTTAAATTGTTTTAAAATTAAAATTTGTTGAATTTTGTGTAAAACTGGCCGAATTGCCAACTTCTGTTTGTTGAATGGACACTTTCTTGCACTCAATCAATAGAATGGAAGGCATACTAGTGAAATTGTAAAGACTTTGTTCAATTTGAGCATTGGAATTGGCTTGAAAATTGTTTCATCAGATTTCTTATTTTTAATGTCGTTCATTGTCTTCGGATTAAGATTCTCTGCCATTTCAATTTCTTTCTTTTTTTTTTTTTTTTACATGACGGCCATCTCCCACCAAGGCAGGATGACCTAAAAAAGAAACACGTTCACCGTCACTCAACATTTTCACCATCACTCACACATTATTACTGTCTTTTGCATCTAAATGACCAAATCACCTCAATAACCCCTCTTCAGCCCTCTGAACAATACTTTTAACTCCACACCTCCTAATTTCCACACTACAAATTCTCTGCATTATATTTACACCACACATTGCCCTTAGACACGACATCTTCACTGCCTCCAGCCTCCTCCTTGCTGCAGCATTCACAACCTGTCTCCACAGATACCTCAATGTACCACTCACCTTTTTTTCTTCATCAATTCTGTGATTAACTTCATATTTCATAAATCCATCTGCTGACAAATCTACTCCCAAATATCTGAACATGTTCACTTCTTCCATACTCCCTCCATCCAATATGATATCCAATTCTTCATTACCTAACTCATTTGATACCCTCTTCACCTTACTCTTATCTATGTTCACTTTCAACTTTCTTTACACACCCTCCCAGACTCGTCCACTAACCTTCGCAACTTCCCTTTAGAATCTCCCAAAAGTACAGTATCATCAGCAAGTAACTCTGTCGACTCCCATTTTGTATTTGATTCTCCATAATTTAATCCCACCCCTCTCCCCAACACAGTCCTCTGTTTCTGGTGCCTCTTTAAGATTTCCCTAAAATGGGACATGGTTTTGTCACTGAACTTATTGCAGAGATGGCTTGTTTCAGCTTGCTCAGGGTGGTACTTCTCCACAAATGTTTGCACATCATTCCACTTGGCACAAATCTCCTTAATCTGTGAAGAAGGCACCTCATCCACTCCCTCTTCCTCCTCCTCTGAAGCAAGTTCCTGAGCTGTGGTCTGGTACTGTTCTAGGTGAAGCTCTTGCAGCTCTTCAGTGGTTAGCTCTTCCCTGTGGTCCCCCACCAACTCTTCCACATCCTTGCCACTCACCTCCACCCCCATGGACTTGCCCAATACAACAATATCTTCCACAACAGGCAGAGAGTTGTCAGGGTCAACCTCAAACCCTTCAAAATCCCTCTGGACGACACATTGTGGCCACAATTTTCTCCAAGCAGAGTTCAAAGTCCTGGAAGTTACTCCCTCCCAAGCCTTTCCTATAAGGCTTATGCAGGTGTAGATACTGAAGTGATTTCTCCAAAACTCTCTTAGGGTCAACTTAGTGTCTGTGGTCGCTTCAAAGCACTTTTCAAACACTACTTTTGTGTAGAGTTTTTGGCAGTTAGAAATGACCTGCTGGTCCATGGACTGGAGGAGAGGAGTGGTGTTAGGAGGCAAGACCTTCACTGTGATGAAACTGTAGTCCCTAGACAGTAGGTCTGCTAAGTTTGAAGGATGTGCAGGAGCATTGTCCAGTAAAAGGAGGCACTTGAGTGGCAAATTATTTTCTAGGAGGTATTTTTTCACACTGGGGCCAAACACTTCATGGACTCGCTCTGCAAATTTGCCTCGTGACCCATGCCTTATTTGCTTTCCACGAGAGACATAACTTGTTCTTAATGATATTGCTTTTCTTAAACACACTGGGATTTTCTGAGTGATACACCAGTAAAGGCTTCACTTTAAAATCCCCACTAGCATTAGCACAGAACAAAAGAGCTAGCCTGTCTTTCATAGGCTTGTGTCCTGGGAATGCCTTTTCCTCCTGAGTAATGTAAGTCCTCTTTGGCATTTTCCTCCAAAAACAGGCCTGTTTCATCACAATTGAACACTTGTTGGGGTTTGAATTTTTCAGTGTCTATGTACCCCTTAAAATCATTCACAAATTTTTCAGCCACCCGTTTGTCTGAACTGGCTGCCTCGCCATGCCTTACAACACTGTGTATACCAGTACGCTTCTTAAATCTGTCAAACCAGCCTCTCCTGGCCTTAAATTCACTATCAGCACTGGCTCCAGGAGTTTTCTTTACAAGATCGGCATGCTACTGTCTTGCCTTTTCACAAATGATTGTCTCAGAAACACTATCACCTGCCATAGCTTTATCCTTGATCCACACCAGCAACAACTTCTCAACCTGATCGACTGGTTAGCATATCAACACCTTTTGCAACATTAGCTTCCTTGATTACTTTTTTGTTCACCAAGATAGAAGCGATTGTTGACTTGTTTTTCCCGTACATCCTGGCAAGCTCTACAAGTGCACACCACTCTCGTATTTTTCTACTATTTCCATTTTCATGTCTCTGGTGTTTCTCACTTTCTTTACCACAGGGGTGCCACTAGTAAGTTTCTTTGGACCCCTGGTAGCTTATTTCACAATTGCACAAGCACCAAACACAATGAATTAATAGTGAAATGTTTGAATGAGTGTGCAGGTTAGTGTTTACTCAAGCATCAACAAAGCCAGACTGGCTCACGACGCCTGCGCGGAGACATGGACAGAGTGGGCAGGTGGACAGGTCCCCGGTACCCAGCAGTTCGAAACACGGGGCGTGTTCAATGCTCGGGACAAAATTGGTTCAAAAAAAGCAGTCGAAACTCTAAGCGTTTGTTAGTCGATACGTTTGAAACTCGGGGTTTCACTGTATAAGAAATTATTTTTGCCTTTTTTGCCAGGTCCCAGTAATGTTTTAGAAATGCTGGAGTATATATGAAACTCCTTGAAGCATGGTGTAAGATGAGTATCACTTCACTGCTGACAGTGCAGCAGTGGAGTAACATTTGACAAGCATGCACTGCCTTGGCTTTATTTTTCACTGTTACACATAAACATGTCTGTCTATCTGTGTCTGTCTAGCTTTGTCTATGTTTTTCTCTGTCTCTGCTTATCTGTCTTTGTCTGCCTGTGTTTCTGTCTTCCTGTCTCTACTTGTGTCTGTCTCAGAGAGAGAGCCGCTCATGAACCAACAGGCATTACACACGATGCAGAGTTGTCATGTCTGATTCCTGGACAAGTGAAAATATATATCACTTGCCAGTCATGCTTATTATGCCTTATATCTACAAGCATAGTATAGCATTTTGGCTAGATTTTTTGGGTTATCCTAGGTAATATACACTATGTATAACTATTTATGTATACCTGTAAGATATAGAGACAGACAGACAGGAGATAGAGACCGGTAAAGCAAATCAGCCAGCCAGTTGGCCAGCCACCCAACCAGCCGGCCTGCAGAACATGTATTACACATGTTCCAGAATTGTTTATCTTTACTTAGGGCATACGTTATAGAACATTCTGGCAGGACAACATTACCAGTGGTATCAAAATTGAAAGGATGTTACACATTGGTTATTATCGAGGTTTTTGATATTTCCTTGGTATCTCCTGCGAGTTGCAGTGTATCTGAAGCTCACTCGTAACTCGGATTTTGGCTCGCAGGTCAAAGCAAAAAATCGAATGAGCAACGGCTTGTAACTCGGAAAACTCGTAAGTTGGGGCACTCATAAGTCATGGTACCACTGTATAATAATCAGATACTGAAGAATTTCCATATGTATTAATTATCATATACCAAATGTAATGTATATCCTCCTCCTTTCTTCTAGGTGGTGTTCCACTTGCTACTCTGAATCTTCAAGTGGGTGTTGCTCCAGGACAAACAATCCCAGATGCCTGGCACCATCAGATGATCTTTGGTGTGGGCCCACAAGGAATCTACCTAACTAACCCTTTGGAATGTGTGTCTGATTGTTTGCTTGGTGATCAGTTGTGCACAGATTCAGTGCTATTAATCCGAAGGGCAGATGTGGTGGGACGATGGGGTCAAGGAGATAGACTTATCAGATTGACACGACATCCAGATGCAAGATGGCGAGAAATGAATGTTCTTGGTACAGTACTTTGCAAGATTTAATTAATATTTCTTTTAAAGATCCAAACAAACTATATTTATATGTCATTTAATTTTTATTTATTCTGTATTTTTAAAAATATGGTGTACTCAAATGCTGTACAGTACTTAGTATTACCCTCTGACTGCAACATCCCTACCCGTCCTCCAGAGTGTAGGCACTGCCCTTCCCAGTTAAAGGACTCATGTCTAGCTGACCAGTTTCCCTGGATCCCTTCATGCTTCAATATCAACACTTGGTCTACATATCCCCCACCTTTCCTAAATCCTCTCTGCTCTCTCTAATTGTATTTTGTCTTATCTCTAACCCTTTCCCTCTTCAAGGGGGGCTCCTTGGCGTGGTGAAGAGGCTCTTGGTCTGAGGAATTAGACCTGTCGGTCTACTTCCTCAGACTGAACCTAATTACCCCCCAATCCCCCGTTCCCTATCCCATCCTCCCCTTTTTCCTTTCCTCCTCCTCCTCCCCACCCCTCCCTTTTGTCCTTCCTTTTTGGCCTTTGGGATTTTTTCCCACAGGCACGCTAGTTCCTAGGTAGAGGAAAGGGTACCAGGGTCCATCCCATTCCGTTGAGGTTCTTGGCGGTGGCGTAGTTTGCCGTGGAATCTGGATCGCCTGGGGATGTCCCGATCCCTCTCCGGTATCCCGGAGAGTGGCTTTGGGTGTCTTTTGGGCGACGGGTGTATCTCTGAAAGCCACCTTTCGGATTCCGGGGGTGGTGGCCGAAGGAGGTATGCTTTGTGGCGGATATCCGGCCGCCCTCTCTTTTGTCCACCGAGGTAGCTCGGCAGATGTGAGGTTGCTATCCCGGATTGCTAGTTTACTGGCATGATGGGTAGGGTATGGCACGGGTTCCATGCTGCATCTACACTACTTGCGGTGCTGAGGTCCTCTTGGGCGCGGAGGGAGATTTCTGGCCCTTTCATTCCTCCTAGGAACTATCCCTCCCCGGTCCCCCCTTTTTTATTTTTTTTTTTTATTTTTATTTTCTTTTCTTCTTTCTTTGTTTTTTCTTAAAAACAAAAAGAAAGAAGTAACCTAACCATGGCAGCCCTAGTCCATGAACCTGCTACCCCCGGGCCCCTTCTTGATACCGCACCCCATTCTGACCCCGCCTCGTCTTTGGACCACTCTTCAGACACTCCTCATACCTCTGTACCTCTTGCTGGTGCTGTTTCCTCACCCGCTTCAGGTACTGAGGTCTCGACTGACTCCTTTGATTTATCTGACCTCTGCTCTCCTTTGACTATGCTTCCGGCTTCTCCCTCTACAGTGCGGCAATTTTCGAATCGCCGGCCTGTTCCACGTCGGACCAATTCTGGTCCCACACCTAAACGCCAACGACAGTTCCCTGCTGATGATACTTCTCCACCTTCTCGTTCTTCTCAGAAAAGATCAACACGTCCTGCACTCCCTTTCCACGCTCAGTTTCAGACTGCACAATGGACAAAATTCTTCACTTTACGACTGACTTCCTCTACCGCCTATCTTTCCGACCACAGTATTGGCAAGGCACTCCTACGCCATGTTGGTAAAGATATTTCTTTTCATGCTCTTAAGAGCGGTACACGCATCATCACTGTACAGAATGCTACCCAAGCTCATGATCTTTCTCTTCTTTCCCATATAGACACTGTTCCTGTCACTATTGAAAAACATCATTCCCTCAATTCTTGTAGTGGTACTGTCATTCTGCCCCATACCATAGTTCAACAAAATTTCCAGACATGTGGCAATGACATTCTTGAACAGCTGGAACTCCAAGATCTCTCAATCCTCAAGGTAGACACTTATGTTCTTCCTGCCCGCTGGCGGAGACGATACCCTAGCAATGTGGCTCGTTTAACTTTTGACAGCCGTGAACTCCCATCCTCAGTTTATGTAGCAGGACATCGGTTACAAGTTCAAAAGGTGATCCCTACACCACAACAGTGTAGAAATTGCTGGCGATTTGGCCATCCAGCGAAATATTGCAGATCCATAGCCGAATGCCCAGTCTGTGGTGCTGATGACCATTCTAATACGTCTTGCAATCGACCTCCCTCTTGCCTTAATTGTCATGAGGCTCACCCTTCGTACTCTCGCCGTTGCCAAGTCTACTTAAATGAGCGGGAAATCCGTTCCCTCAAAGAGGCAGAAGGTCTCCCTTATGCCATGGCAGTTTCTCATCTCCGCCTCCGAAGGAGACTACCTCGTGTTTCTTATTCCCGTGTTTCAAAACGTCCCCCCACTTCTGGGGTCCCATCTTCTGCAGCCTCCTCTGTGGTTACCTCTCCCATAGTCACTCCTGTATCTAATTCTTTTGCTGTCCTAGGCTCAGACGTCCCTACTTCAACACCTCAGTCGGTTCACGCTTCTTCGTGTTCTCCCTCACAAGCCTCAGTATCGACGAGACCTCGTACGACACCTCCTTCCAATCGTCCCTCTACTTCTCAGAAGTCAAAAAAAGGTCCTTTAACCCCTCCTTCCATACTTCCACTTCCTCATTTTACCTTCCATGTCTCTGTACCGGGTTCTTCCCCTCTCACTGGCTCTGTTACAAGTGTAGAGGTTCACCCTCCTCCTCGTACTATACCTACCTCCCCTGTTCCCTGCCAGGTTTCTTCCTCTTCTGCCACCTCCCAGGTTTCTGCCTCTTCTGCCCCCTTCCACACTTCTTCTCCAGTTCCCTCCACCCTTTCGCCCCCCCCCTACCTTGGTACAGTCCATTACCGTTCCAATCTTTACTCATCCTCCCCCTACCATCTCCAATATTGTCTCCCATATGATGTCTCTGAATTCCGAAACACTTGAAGCAATCTCTGAATATATTGCATAGACCAAACCATCAATGGACACTGATCCACCCTCTGTTCCTTCTCTCTCCTCTCCTCCATCTGCGCAACTCCTTTCTTCACAGCGCACCGTTCCTTCGCTGCTTGAACGTTTTCCGCTGCCTCCGCATGTGGACTTTTCTAACCCCTCTAGTCCGTAGGAACCCTTACCTGCGGATTTCAGGTATCTTTATCATTGCCTATCATGGCCTATTTACAGTGGAATATACGCGGCCTCAGGGGTAATCGGGGTGAGCTTCAGATGTTACTCTCCCAGTTTTTCCCTGTTGGTGTTTCCTTATAGGAACCAAAATTACACTCTGCTGTTATCTCTCCCATCTCAGGCTATAATTTATTGTATTCTTCAGATCCTTTTCCTGATGGGACCTTTAATGAAAGTGCCCTTCTTCTACGCACTGATATTCCGTACCATCAGCTATTTGTTCGTACTTCGCTGCATTACACAGCAGCCCGTATCCACTTGCATAGGTGGTATACGCTGTGTTCTTTATATCTCTCTCCTTCTCGGGCATTATCTATTCCGGATATTGCCTTTCTTGTTTCGTCATTACCGCCACTGATTCTGTTACTTGGCGATTTTAATGCCCATCATTTCCTTTGGGGGGTCTCACTGTGATAACCGTGGCATTCAGTTAGAGGCTTTTCTTGCCACCCACCCCCTCCATGTTTTAAATACAGGTACTCACACCCATTTTGATCCTCGGACTCTCACTCTCTCTTGCATCGATCTCTCAGTCTGCTCTTCCTCCGCCGCATTAGACTTCACTTGGTCTGTTCTCCCGGACTTACATGACAGCGATCATTTCCCAATCATTCTTACTTCCCCTTCATATTCACCACCTCTTCGCATCCCACGCAGGCAATTTGATCAGGCAAATTGGAACCTTTACTCACACCTAACTGTTTTTAGAGAGGTTCCTTCTTCGTCCTCCATTGATGAGCTTTTACACCTCTTCTCGTCCTCCATTTTAACCGCAGCTTCTAATTGTATACCCCAAACTTCAGGGCAGGCATTCTTAGAAATGCGTGCCTTGGTGGTCTCCTGCTTGTGCTCGTGCAGTACGTTTGAAACGCGCTGCATGGGGCAGGTACCGGTACAATAGAACCACGGAGAGACTTTTTGATTTTAAGCAGAAGCGTGTGATCGCTTGCCGTGTCATCCGTGACGCTAAACGCACTTGCTGGCGAGAATATGTCTCCACCATCACCTCTGCTTCCACTATGAGTGCAGTCTGGAAAAAAGTACGAAAACTGAGTGGTAAATATTCTCCTGACCCGGCTCCTGTTCTGCGGGTTGCCGGTGTTGATATAGCAAACCCACTAGATGTTGCCAGTGAAATTGGCAATCATCTGGTCCGTATTTCTCAGGGACTCCATCTATGCCCCTCGTTTCTTTCCTCAAAGTCTGCCAGAGAGTTAACACCCTTGGACTTTTCTTCTCTCAGAGAACAGTATAATGTGCCTTTTACACTTCAAGAACTGGAGGCAACACTCTCAGCTTGCCGATCATCGGCAGCTGGGCCCAACGACATTCATATTCGTATGCTACAACATTTACATCAGTCAGCCCTTGCAGTCCTATTATGCCTTTACAATCTTATTTGGTCACAAGTTCTTCCACAGCTGTGGAAATCTGCCATTGTTCTCCCTTTCCGCAAACCAGGCAGTATGGGACATGAAGCCTCCCACTATCGTCCCATTGCTCTTACCAGTGCAGTTTGCAAAGTGATGGAACGCCTGGTAAATAGACGTTTAGTGTGGTATTTAGAGACACACAACAGTCTCTCCACTCGTCAATATGGCTTTCGTAAGGGACGTTCTACCATAGACCCCTTACTACGCTTGGATACGTATGTTCGTAATGCCTTTGCGAATAACCACTCAGTTATTGCTATATTTTTTGACCTTGAGAAGGCTTATGACACAACTTGGAGGTATAATATTTTAGCTCAAGCCCACTCCTTAGGCCTTCGAGGCAATCTACCATCCTTCCTTAAGAACTTTTTAACTGACAGGCATTTCCGTGTTCGGGTTAATAATGTGCTCTCCCCGGACTTTATCCAAGCTGATGTCCTCCAGGGATGTGTTCTGAGCACAACACTTTTTCTCCTTGCTATTAATGATTTGGCCTCTAGTCTTCCATCAAA